CTCGAATGTTTTCAAAAATTAGTACTTTTTTGTTCAAAACATATTAAATGTCACAGTTACAATGCTGAATTTATAGATCTTGTAAAGTATAATATTCATGTTAAGTCAAAAAATCTTCCTATTCAAAAATATTATATTTCAGTTAAATTTTATGAAACAGTAAGACATCTTTGTGCTTAAATGCAACTCGTAGCAAATTTCATAAAACAAAAACAAATTCAATCTTACTAATTTAATGTATTATCTGCCATTACATTATCATGTTTCTTTATTAGCAAACATTTTCTGAAAAAATAGTGGTCAGAATGTATACAAATTCTAGCATGAACATACATAATATTCCACATCTACCTTTTAAAAGACAGTTTGTAAATTATTAATAACTAACTTACCTTAGTAGAAACTGATCTATTCAAGTATTGCCCCTTTTTTTTGTGAAATGACTAGTTCATACTTAATTAATCTAATAATTGCAATTATAAACTTGTGTTTAGCAACTGTTTAAACATTTCATGAAATGATCAGTTTCTTTGTGTGATATACAGGTATATGTTTTCTACTTGCTTTACTAAGTTATTTTAAAAATTCTTCATTTATGTAGTTTCTTTGCAGTTCTATCATAAACATGAGGTCCAGAAAACTGCTGAAGTTGCTTTATTCTCTATAGTAAAGAACATCTATTCTGCCTGATGGGATATTAATAGTAACAAAACATCTACGTGAAAAGGATCACTGACTGTAATATCCTTTCAAACTTTTTTTTTAATCAGTTGCACAAAGTAAAACATTTGTTTTTTGTTCGTAACATTTCAGGTGTGATACAAGAACTGAGGCTAACATAAATTAATTTTAAAAAAGGTTCTTGTATCTCACCTGATTATGCCAGGTAAACCTGGTAAACAAAATAAACAAAAGTTTTACTTTGTACAGCTGATAAAAAAACTTGTGTGAATTTTAAATAACAGTTCTAATATTTAATTAAGGTAATATCCTTTGCTGGCCAAATAGACAATGTCTGTATGTTACAGCTGACAACTGATGCATGAGAGAGAGAGAGAGAGAACAAGGGTGACACTATTGACTGGTCAAATAATAAAAAAAGTTTATTCATTGTAATCAAGCATGCTTTCTTATTTCAGTTCCAATAAAAGATCTTCAAATAAAGATGATATTTAAGATTGTAGTGTTTCAGTTCTACAGAGATCAATCTCGAGAGAAAGAATGTTGTTGGACTAAACAACAAGTAGATAATTGACTGTGGTCCTGTCTGACTAAGTATATACACTGAATTTTCTTTAGTTTAATAATAAAGATTGTGTTTATGTTTATTTCATTTCAAACTTATCAAGCCTCATTATTTCTCACACAAAAAACAAACTTTCAAATGCAGATTACTTCAAAAATTTCCTGGTCAACCCTGCTGTCATTAGCATATCTCTCTATCTATACTTGTAGAGAAATCAGTCCACCTGAGAATACCACATGTTAACTGTTCCATAATTTTAAGCATTGTAACAAGAGTTAAAATGGCAAAAGTCCAATGCTTACTGATCATCCTATCAATGAGTATTGTGACTATTTAGTTCCTCAAAGCGATCTAGAATGCACAAAGCATATAGATCCCTTTGGCTTATGGAGCCTTTGATGATCACTGGCCTTTATGAGCTATGACTTAAAACCAGTCAAAAGTTTTGTTTGCTATTCTCATCCTTGTATATCTAAAACAACACTTCAAAGGGAATTTCTATCTACACTGTCTTAAAATGAAATTGTTTTCTGCATACCAGAGTTCATAAAGTTACAACATCCAGTTTATACCTACAACACAAAATGCTCATATTTTGTACATTATGTGAAAATATCAAACACATTTCTAGTGAAAAACAGTGTCAAGTCTGCAATATTCTTGGCTAAAGCCTTGCAAGTTTTTAAATCAGATTAGAATAATATATGTAAAATCACATCAAATTTTTCTCAATTGACAACACATCTTTTGTCAATTTTGCTTACAATTGACAACTTGAATTTGCACATTAAACTTAGTGATCTGATAAATAGAAATCATTTAAAAATCATGACTCGCGTGTTACTTGCAAAGCACAAATGTTGATCAGCTTTCATCAGGGGTTTTATTAAGAAAAATGTAAGATTTATTATGTTTATAAAAATCAGCCAAAATGTTTAATGATTTTTTTCAAAAGTGTAAAAATGGTTTAAAAAAAGGATCAATATGTTTTAATCATAAATCTTGCTCACAAACACTCATTTCTATGGTCACACCAGTTGTTTTCATCACATCTTAAGGCAAAAACATTCCTAATGTCACTACAGTTTTGAAGAACATCCTACATATGTTAACAAGTGATTGGATAACCCTTGTTCACACTAGTTATCTTTCCCTGCCTTTAGTTGTATATAAACAATGGATGATGTTATACTGAACCAGCACTTTTCCCTCCTAATTTTGTGATTAGTTGTTGTTTGTTATTAAGCACAAAGATACACAAAGGGCTATGATTAGTCAAAACTTGGATTATTATTTATGTAAAGTATATCTTGCATAATTTTTGGAAACTACCAAGAATATGGTCATCTACACTGTTAATAAAAACAGCCTTTGGCCCCTGCTGAAATGGACCCACAAATAAGATTATCACTTAAGACTATCATCATCAACTTCGAGGGATTCCCAGTAGGAAAACAAATCATAAGTTTGGCCAGATAAGCCTTTATTCATATTAAGGCTAAAAATGCCTCTAAAACCTATTACAGCTAATTGTAAAAAGTTTTAAACTTTTCAATGCAATGCTCCAGATAAGATATACATCTACAAAAGTATACATTTTTTGTCACAAAAAAAAACACATTAGAAATGAAAAATTGTGTGTAATTCATATGCATACTATTAACTAATACACTTATAGGTATATATTTGCCACTTTGTAGTATTTGATGCAAAGTCTATAAGTACAAGTTTTAGTGAGTAAAAGTAAATGCATTATACAGTGATTCCTGGCT